AAAATCGCAGATTCGAATTTTTATATTTTGAATTAGTATTGAGAAAGAGTGTAATCATATCAATCGTATTGACCACATGGAGCTAACATTATGAAAGCTTTTGTCTTTCATCTCTGAAAAAGTTTTTTACATGCTCAGCATAGTATAACTCAGATGTGTTAAATCGCCTTTGCAACAATGTTCTCGTTTCTTTTTCTTTCCGCTTTTGTCAAACTTTGATACGTAAAGAGAGAATAGAATATTGAATATTCTATTACTCTGTTTACGTGATACTATTAATATTTGTACATACTGTCCGCCTTTTAAATTGTGTGTGTATAAATGAAGACTACTTTGACGGTACAAATTCCACTACATAAAATAATTTATAAAGGGTGTTTATTCAAAATTTTTCATAAACTCAAATTTCAATCAGAAGTGATAACAACAAACAAGAACTAGTTGTACGAGGAATATAAACTCCCAAAAATATAATTAGTTTTCTGTTATAGTTCAAATCTTACGAAGTTAAAATTTCGAACGCAAAACTGGTAACAATGTAACATTTAAAAGTTTAATATTCTCTGACGAGTTTACTCGCGACAAGTTTTACCTTTATTGGTGGTACATACTGTTGTATCAGTTGTGCCTGTATTTTAGCGTTAGAATTAGTGACGGGAGTATATGCAGTGGCTGCCTGATTACTCTGCTGTGTACTATGATTACGAGTAATATGCCGGTTAGTATTTGTACTACTATTGTTATTTCCGGTGGCTATTGTATTTCTCTGGGATATAACGTCAGATGTCGGTTTGGGTGTACCATTACTTTCTCCTTTAGTTGACCATCTGTTTCCTTCGTAGTCTAACCATTCAGCGATAGATATTATGAACTGAACACCATAAATTTTTTCTGCCCACTCTTTTGGTAATTGACGGACTCCGTAGTGAGCACCAGCTAACTGACCGTAAATGGCTGCTGTTGTATCTGTATCATCACCCAAGTTAACTGCTAGTAAAACACCTTCACGAAATTGATCATGATCAGACCAAAATGCCCATAATGCGGCTTCCATTGCTTTAAGGCAATGACCTGCACCAACAATTCCTTCTTTATGACCATCTCTCTTGTAAGAACCGAGAGCCACTTGAAGTACATCTGAATGCAACGGTTGATCACCAAACCATTGCAAATGTTTTTCAACAAATTGATTATTTAATATTTCAGGTTTTTCATAACCACGCAAAGCAGCGACAATTAGAGCTGCATAATAACGGCAGCAATCGACTGCAATTGTATCACCATGTGTAAGACGAGCGCTTTCGCCGGCATAATAAACAGCTTGCATCGGCGAACGAAAGAAAAATAATGGTACTGATGCAAGCCTCATTAATGCACCATTTCCGACTGCACCTTCACCACTACAGTAGTAATTAAATTTTTTTTGTTGAAGAAAGTCTTTACTAAGATAATCAATGTCCTTTTCTAGTATCTGAAACTGATGTATTAAATTTTGTCGTCGTAGAAACTCTTCTAATGACTGTTTTGTGGAGCTACCAATATCAAAACATTTGCCAGTAGAAGACATATAACCATTCTTCCACCACCATTTATATCTGACCAATTGATCATACGGCTGAAAGTCTTTTTTAACAATTAAACTTGCTGCTAGACATAATGCCATTGATGTATCGTCTGTCCATTGGCCACGTTCGAGACCCCATGTACCACCACCAGTTAATGTGTTAATTGGATGTTGCTGTAAATAACTGTGTGACCGAAATTCGACACTAGCACCTAATGCATCACCTATTGCCAAACCTAGTAGTGATCCTACAATTCTATTAATATGTTCGGTTTGTGACGGAGCCGTCTGAAGACAAATTGTATGGGGTAATTTTGGTGGAAGACAGAGATTAAGATCGGCTATATTATTCATGGTACTCGTATGATGAATAGTGTTAATAATAGATCCGAAATGATACAATATTCAATTATTATAAATAAACATAAAAATAACTAAACACTTATGCAGATAAAAGTTCTTTTTTTCGGTTGTCCTTTTTTCCGACTGCTCTTAGAGAATGGTCTGATCTCATCTCAACACATCTGCAACTAAGTGTTAGACAAAGCCTGAGACATTTCGGAAAGAGTTAAAAAACATTGTACTTCCACCTACCAATAAATTACCATGTATATTACATCGTCGAGCTGATGCACTATTTTGCCGCTTAAGAGTGGATTTCTCCGCGCTT